CCTTTTTAACGGCTTTCTTCTGTAGAGTTTTAGCAGATTGATTGTTACTTAGGAAACTGTGACATCACCGACACCATGTACATCGGCAAAGCTGTCATTGCAGCAAAGGCTTGGTTTGCATTCAAGCAGGTTAAAAGAAAGAGAAAAGGGTGGATCCAGTGGTGAGTTAAAAATAGAGATGGGCTGGCCGGGTGCGGTAGCCCACGCCTGTAACCCCAGCACTTTGGGAGGCTGAGGCAGGCGGATCACGAGGTCGGGAGATCGAGACCATCCTGGCTAACACGGTGAAACCCCGTCTCTACTAAAAAATACAAAAAACTAGCCGGGAGTGGTGGCGGCGCCTGTAGTCCCAGCTACTCGGGAGGCTGAGGCAGGAGAATGGCGGGAACCCGGGAGGCGGAGCTTGCAGTGAGCTGAGATCCGGCCACTGCACTCCAGCCTGGGCGACAGAGCGAGACTCCGTCTCAAAAAAAAAAAATGTAATAAAAATCATGTGAGTGTGGACTCTCTCTCTCTCTCTCTCTCTCTCAAAATACCTTAATATTTTCATACCACAGTAACTGAAGCTGTGGAAAGTGAAACCATGGATGCAGGCAGACCCTGTATCTCAAAATCGCAATTGTTTCCAGTATTTATATTCACTCTCAACAGTTTGCAAGCCGATTATGATTCAACTCGTCTGGGCTGAGCTAGCCTGGACTCCAGGCTAACCTTACGGTCCGTTCTGCCCCCAGGCCGAAGGGGCAGTGGCAGCATCGTTGTGCTTCTCGGGGGACCAGCAGAGCACACTGGCTAAACCGAGCCAGGCAAGCAGATGGAAGGCTCTCGCCCACAAGAGGCCTGCTGCCGCTCCACGGCTCAAACCCAGCATCAGCCGGGTGCAGACATGTGCTGTGCCTGCTCCGGAGGCAGAGATCACAAGGTCACGTAACAAAGGGCGGATGTATTGTCCTAATACAAGACGTGAGCCGAGCAAAGCAAGCATCTCAGCCATCCAGCGCTGTCAGGAGCATCTGCTGCTGGTGGACGTGTAAATTAATAGGGCCACTTTAGGGAACAATCGGCATTCATTACCCAGTAATGACAAAGATGTTTAGCCCATAACCAGCCCGCTGCAGTCTGAAGTATGCGGCTTCCAGAAACTCTCACATTTACAGTAACATTGTATAATACAAAAGTGCAGATATATTCGATATTTCAAGTAGTTCTCTGAAAAACACCTCAGGGCAAACATTTACATTCCCAGTTTGTAGACAACAGAATTGCACATCTGGGGTCCCCTGCGAAGGAGAACCTCACGAGGACCACAGTCTGCTTCCAGCGTGAGGCTTCGTCCCTGGCAGAAAGCTCTGTGTGATTCTCATGCCAGGGGGGTGCGTCTCCCCAGAACTCAGGGCCCAGGGCAAAGACATGAGTGACAGAAACACTGGAAGCAGGGGGTGCTGTCCTCATCCTTCTCTACACAGCTGTTCGCACTAAACCGGGCAGTATCTCAGAGCAGACGGCGGACGGATGAGTCTGTAAACCCTGCAATGTTGCCAACAAACGCTGGGCAACGGCTCACACACTGCACGCGGGCAGAGGCCTTTGAGAAGTGTGGGGAGGGAGGGGCGAGGCACGGTAGGATAGGGAATATTCTGGAAGGTTGAGCGGGTTGGGTTTGGTGCGGACCGTGCTGTGGTCATCTTCTCTAGGCGTTTCTGTGGCCCTCCCGACAATGCCGCTCACTCCCCGAACTTCAGTCAGCACCTTCCTCTGTTAAGAGAAGCAGTTACTCCTGATTGGAAAATGTGAGGCTTTCCTGAGACAAGACTGGCCAGGGTCACCCATTCTTCAAGGCTGAGTGCAGGAAGCAGGTTCTGACTTCTTGTGGATTACGTCCTTCTTTGAATTCCTATATCGTTTTTCTGTAAATCATTTATTTTAATGTAAACTGTGGTCTGCTTTGGATTATTGAAAGGCCTGGTGAGCGTATCTAATTTCAGTCTCTGGGCTACGAGCTCCCAGGTTTGGCAGGTAGCCTATGCTACTCTCACTCAGCAGCCCTCTCCCCCCACGCGTGTACTCTCAGCGCAGTGATCACGGTGAGGGGTGTTTGGAAAGTACACGCTGACTTACGTTACGGTGTGTGACCGACTGACCATTGTGATGTTGGAGAGGAGGGAACAGAAGGCGTCTTCCTGAGGAAAGTAGGTTAACCCCGTGCGACACACCTCAGCAAAGATACTCCAGCCACCCTGCTTCCCCGTTTGAAGTAAAAGGCATCCAGAACAAAACCTACAATGGAAACTTTATTAAAGGTGAAAGACGAAACGATTTTCCTCGAAGATCAGAAGTGAGGCTCTCATTCCTATTCAGCATCACACTGGGGCAAGAATACAAGAAAAGGAAATTAAGGGCATACAAATTGGAAAGGATATCTTTGTTTTCAGATATCATAATAGTCAATGTAGAAGCTCCAATGAAATCTACCAAAACAAAAGAAAAACTACAAGTATTAAAAGGTTGTAGAATACCGTGTGTTATAGACTGAATGTCTGTGTCCTCTAAAATTCATACGCTGACATCCTAACCCACAATGTGATGTGACAGGTGGTGAGGCCTTTGGGAGGTAACCAGGTCACGTGGATGGAACCCCCATAAATGCGGTTGGAGTCCCTAAAAAAGGGGCCACAGAGAGCTCTTCTGAGGATACAACAGGAAGGCGCTCAAAGGTTCTATTCCTCATTTTAAAGGCCGCCAGGCTCACACTTCAAACCAATATTTGAGCTAGACCTGGGATTCAGGACTCTGAATTTTATCAGACAGACATTCCTAAAATGCAACTAAATTCTCCTCAGGTAAAAAGAAAGAAGAATTTTGAGACTAGCATGGATTTGTGGTCAAATAATATGTGCTCACCGACTGTATTACCCAGGCGCTAGTCATGCACGATAAGAAACTTGGAATACGATCTGTCACTGATGGACATTTGGGTTGATTCCAAGTCTTTGCTATTGTGAATAGCGCTGCAATAAACATACGTGTGCATGTGTCTTTATAGCAGCATAATTTATAATCCTTTGGGTATATACCCAGTAATGGGATGGCTGGGTCATATGGTACATCTAGTTCTAGATCCTTGAGGAATCGCCATACTGTTTTCCATAATGGTTGAACTAGTTTACAATCCCACCAACAGTGTAAAAGTGTTCCTATTTCTCCACATCCTCTCCAGCACCTGTTGTTTCCTGACTTTTTAATGATCGCCATTCTAACTGGTGTGAGATGGTATCTCATTGTGGTTTTGATTTGCATTTCTCTGATGGCCAGTGGCACATATACACCATGGAATACTATGCAGCCATAAAAAAGGATGAGTTTGAGTCCTTTGTAGGGACATGGATGCAGCTGGAAACCATCATTCTTAGCAAACTATCACAAGAACAGAAAACCAAACACCGCATGTTCTCACTCATAGGTGGGAACTGAACAATGAGATCACTCGGACTCAGGAAGGGGAACATCACACACCGGGGCCTGTCATGGGGAGGGGGGAGGGGGGAGCGATTGCATTGGGAGTTATACCTGATGTAAATGACGAGTTGATGGGTGCTGACGAGTTGATGGGTGCAGCACAGCAACATGGCACAAGTATACATATGTAACAAACCTGCACGTTATGCACATGTACCCTACAACTTAAAGTATAATAATAATAAATAAATTAAAAAATAAATAAATAAATAAATAAATAAATAAATAAACATACAAACAAAAAAAGAAACTTGGAATACGAGGAAGGCACATTTCCCTGGGCACACAAATGAGGAGGAGATGACCTCGATCTTAGTCTAGAGATGGGTTGGATATGTTTTACTTGTAATGTAGGAGAGGCAGAAGACATAAAAATGTGTTTGTGGAAATTATGGGCTGGGGAAAATGGGTGTTGAGCAATGCTTATGCTTCAATGCTCCTTTTTCAGAGATGTACAGAGATTCCATGGCTTGTCTTAGAGGTAAAGGTAAGAACTGAAATGGCAGCTGGGCGCAGTGGCTCACGCCTGTAATCCCAGCACTGTGGGAGGCCGAGGCGGGTGGATCAGGAGGTCAGGAGATGGAGACCATCCTGCCTAACACGGTGAAACCCCGTCTCTACTAAAAATGCAAAAAATTAGCCAGGCGAGGTGGCGGGCACCTGTAATCCCAGCTACTAGGGAGACTGAGGCAGGAGAATGGCATGAACCCAGGAGGTGGAGCTTGCAGTGAACTGAGATCGCGCCACTGCACTCCAGCCTGGGCGACAGAGCGAGACTCCATCAAAAAAAAAAAAAAAAAAAGAACTCAAATGACTTACAAGGTATCAGGACATCAGAGATGCTGAGCAATGATTTATTGCCAGAAGCATCAAGGAGAGGTGGAACCAAGAACTGGCGTGCTCACCCTCCAGCAGCGGCTCCGGAACGGCCTTCTGCAGGTGACCACCGCCTGCCGTGACTAATGCCTCCTTGTTCTATGGAGGAGGCTGCAGGGAGCGAAGCCATGATGCCTGTGAAGGCAACTGTAGCCGGCCTCTCTGAGTGCCCACGTGTTATTGCCACTTACAACCCAGAGGCACAGAATGAATTAAAGGGAACCGATTTCTGAGAAACATAAGCCAGGACATAGACAAGTGGGGAAGTTCTTCAGAGGTTCAGAGGGGCAGCATTTACTACTTTTTTGTTTGTTTAGTAACTGAACCAAGATTAGAATAATTAATAGGAGAAAAATATACCAGTACTTTTCAGTTTTACAATCACCAAAGAGCTTCTGTTAAACTCCTGATTGCATGTGACCTACTTAGAAGGACTGATAAAGGCCAGCTTCTCAAGTAGAGATTGCAATGTCCCACCCACAATCTCGTGCCGTCAGGGCACCCCAGACCTCCAGTAAGATGATGTGGAAGTGGGCACAAGAATGCCAGCATTAGATTATTTATAGAATCTTAATCTCAATGCCATGGAGATAGAAGCATAAACAATACTTCCCGGTTTGGAGAGAGTGGGGCTTGTGAAAGGCAATACCTGGTAACCAAGGTGTCTCTATGAAGTCAGCAGGTCCGCTTAATATTTCAACAACGTTTCTTCCATCTTCTGTCTCCATTGCTGGGCGAAGTTCAGTGCTCAGTCCTCAACATGTTGGTGAGTTTCCAAAGACTATGTTCCCATGATTTCTTCTCTCTCGCATCTCCTCTTCCTGCAGAATTTTTCCTCCCCCAAGATGGTCTTTCATTCAAATGTCTTTTCTTCTGTCTGTCCTCTGACATCTTAACCATGGACAACACCCTTTCCCTGCATTCTCCAAAATACCAATGCACAAGTCAATTATGTGCGGAGACCTTTACTGAGGATTTGAGAGTCTCAGAGGAGAGTCACTACACAGCTGAACTTTCGAATAGATGATCTTAACTAATTAATAGTGCAGTGTGTTGGACATCCCTGCTCTTAACAATCCCCTAGTCAAATTGGCCAAGAATTTCATGCTAGCTATCTCACTTCAGACTCCAGCCTCCTCTCACAGCCTTGAACCTTCTCAAATGCTTCATTTTAAGCAACGACTGAACACAAGTGAATTACATTGCCAACTTAAAACCTAGAAACATAACAAAAGAGTAATTCACACACAAACTAAAGGAAAGGGGATACAGAAAACAGAGTCAAAATTAACATGAAAACAGAAGAAATATAGGCCTAATTAATAAACCAATAAACCACGGGTCACTAATAAAGAAAAACGGTAGAATCACAAATATAATAATAATAACAAGTGTCCAGGGGTAAATAATTATTGACAAAGGAAAAACGTTTTCATTGGCTATTTGCACACATCTGTAAACATAAACGGTGAAACTATGTGAAATGGATAATTTCCTAGGGAAAAGCAGGTTCCCAAAACTGATGCCAGTAGAAACAGAAAATTTAAACAGACCAATTCTAATAACAGAAATGGAAAAAATTATCAAGATTCTACCATTCCACACACACAAAAATGGTACCAGGTTCAAATAGTTTCTCTTTTTTTCTTCCTTTTAAAATGGGGTCTCGCTCTGTCACCCAGGCTAGAGCGCAGTGGTGCGATCTTGGCTCACTGCAACCTCCACCTCCGGGGTGCAAGCGATTCTCCTGCTTCAGCCTCCTGACTAGCTGGGATTGCAGGAACCCATCACCATGTCCAGCTCTTTTTGTATAGTAGAGATGGGGTTTCACCATGTTCACCAGGTTAGTCTCGAACTCTTGACCTCAGGCAGTCTGCCTGCCTCGGCCTCCCAAAGTGCTGGGATTACAGGCATGAGCCACTGCGCCCAGCCCCAGACAGTTTCACAGGTGAATTCCAACAAACACCCAAAGATTAAATAATTCAAATGATACATAAATTGCTGCAAGCCAACGAACATAAATAAAATATTCAAATTAGCTTTATAAACTATAAAATGGATATAACCTGATAAACATAGCACAGTGAAACTAAATTACAGACTAATACCACTTACAAATATTGATGCAAAAATTCTAAATACAATGTCGGTGAACAGAGTCCCAAAACAACACTTGTTTCAAAATCTAAACTAAAAGATACTTAAGAACACATTCCGTAAAAGAATATTATTTATTATTTTTAAAACATATTAGTGTTTATATTTCTAGATAACGTTCACAATGATATGTCTAAAGATGGTATTATTTAAAGATAGATTTTAATATAACAAATCTAACGCGTTTCCTCTCCATTCCCTGTAGGTGTTTAGCTTAGTGTTTAATCAAATGTTCTCTGGGCTCCTCATTCATTCCTACCTTGCACTAGCTCTGTGACCTTAGAAATGTTGCTTAACCTCTGGATGACCCAGTTTTCTCATGTGCGGATGTGGAGATAACAGCAGGACGTATGTCCCAGGGTTGTCCTAAAGAACCAGTGAATTAAGGCCACATATACACCATGGAATACAATGCAGCAATAAAAATGTACAAGATCATCTTGTCTGCAGGAACACAGATGGAGCTGGAGGTCATTATGCTTAGCAAACTAACACAGGAGCAGAAATCCAAATACCGCATGTTCTCACTTACAAGTGGGAGCTAAATAATAAGAACACATGGAGCCCTCAAGGGGAACATCACACACGGGGTCCGGAGAACGGAAGAAGGGAGAGGATTAGGAAAAGTAATTAATGGGTACTAGGCTTAGTACCACAAAATAAACTGCAAACAAACCCTCATGACATACGTTTACCTGTGTAACAAACCCACACGTGTACCCCAGAACTTCAAATAAAAGTTAAAAATATAAACAAACAGAAAGGACACAGAAGAGAACTTGCCAGGCAGTTAGAGCGCAGCGTTTGCTATTGTTCTACCAGTCACCACTTTGTTTAGTCCAAACCTTCAAGCCCAGGCCAGGGCTACAATGCTCCCCTGTCCAGCTCCCCTTCCCCCGCCTTTTAAAAGAACTGTCATCAAGTCTATCAAGGTACAAAATCCCTCACGTAGCATCTGTTCCGTGGCCCCAGAGCACCTTGGCGGGAAGCACCTCAAAGCCGCTGGCTGTGGGGTCTGCCCTGAAGCGATGGTTGCTTTTGTGGCTGTGACTGCCTCCTCGCAGGTGATCACCCCAAGTTTTATTTCTTACAAGTTCTTCTCACTTTCCTCCCACATGGAGAGAAAGAAAAGAAATATCCATGCAGGACACACTTATACTGATCATTGAAACTTCATCACTAAAGAAGAAAGAATAAATGTCCTTGAAAAGAGGGTATTTAAGTGCAGTGACCCTTTTTCCCAGCAAGGGCTGAAGAATTTACATGTCTCTGGCTCAATAATCCCCATTTTTAAAAAAATCCAAGCTTTAATTTAAACAGTCCATTTTAAACAGTAATATTTGACGAGGTATCCTCATGTAAATTTAAGTTTGTTTCAAGACTTAGCTCTAGGAATACAAATACCTTATTTTCAAAACCAAATGAGGCAGGAGGAGTCCCACCTTGCATCTTTCCATCATTTTGAAGCTGGCTCTCTGGCCCGTCCCTCCCCAGGCCTTGGAAGAGGCCCGACTTCCCTTCACGCCCCCTGTCTTAGAAATCCTCTAGCCCTGGAGTAAATCAGAGCCTTTCCCATCATGCTCCCTGACGTGCTGCTTTAAACCCTGAGAGGACCTGGTCCTTCCCCAGCATCGCTCTGTCCCGGGGAGAAGAATATTACTGAGATATGTGCGTGTTTGCTGCCGAGCTAAGACAGAAAACACGGACGCCCCGAGGCATCTGCTTACCCATCTGTGGCTCCTGCGGCGTCTTCTCTTTCCTGCTGGCCTCTCAGTCACCAGGAGTCCCGGGGGCAGCACCTGCTTGGCTCCTTCTTGCTGCTCTCTCCACTCAGGGCTCCCAAACTGAAGGACCCGATTCTCCCCTGAGACACCCATCCACAGAGCTACAGCCTCACAGAAGGAGAATCGGCGACCAGCTTTCCCTCTGCCTCCGTCTGTTCTCTGCTGCTGTAACAGAACACCCGGAACTGGGTAATTCGTGATGAACAGAAACGTGTTTTGCACAGTTCTGGAGTCTGGGAAGTTTAACATCAAGGTGCTGGCATCCGGTGAGGGCCTTCTGTGTGCGTCCTCCTGTTGTGGAAGGTGAGAGGGTGAGACAAGAACCCAGCCCTGAAAGCCCTTTGTAAAAGCACTAAACCTACCCACGAGGGCAGAAGCTTTATGGCCTAATCACCTCGTCACGGCCCCAGCTCTTAGTGCTGTTACGACTGGAGTGACGATCACACACGCCAGCGTGAGTTTTGGAGGGACAAGCATTCCAGCCCCGGCCCACCCGTCGGCTGACGCTGCTGCTAAGAGGAAACGACGCTTCACGGACGGGCTCCTGCCTTTTGTGTTAGTCGGGGTTCTCCAGAGGATAAAACGAAGGATCTAGATATGAATCTGGAACTAGAAATAGATCGTTGCCAAATACACGAGAAGAGACTGATCAGGGGATGGGCTCGCATGACTGTGGAGGCTGAGACGCCCCAGCAGAGGCCGTCTGCGCGCTGGGGACCCGGGGAAGCTGGCGTGGAACGCGCCAAGCAAATCGGAAGGCCCCAGCACCAGCAAGGCCGATGGCGTGACTCTGTCTGAGGCTAAACCTGAGAAACTGGGGCTGTGGCGCGAGCCCTGGAGTCCCAAGACCAGAGAACCTGGAGTTCCGATCCCCAAGGGCAGGAGAAAGAGAACCAAAGAGAATCCACCTGTCCCCTGCCTTCGCTCTTCTCGAGACCTCAGCGCTTGGACAGCGCCCACCCACTGGGTGAGGAAACAGGTATTGGCTGCTAGGGGGTGACTGTGAACTATATGATGGAAACATAAAAACACAGTTTTTTCAGTGAAAGCACCTGATTTTCTCCATGAGCTGGTTGGCGTTTTGTCTTTGCATATTCTGTGCAGCATCTTGAAAAGACGTTTGTCTTTCTGGATCAAAGAAAGAGGCAGAGAGATGTGCTTGTTTCTCGAAAATAAACCTGAGTTCCTGCCCGTTTCTCTCTGCTGAACGGCTGCACTCTCTGCATTTGTGCTAAATTCCTCAAAAGACAAAGGCGATTGGATTTTTATCACTTTAGACCCATGGTGGGAGGAAAAGCATCTTCTCGACGCTGAAAATTAATGTCAGCTTCAAAGAACGCTGGACGTTCTAGTCTTCACGTGTAACTGGTAACCGTGGACTGTGGTCAAAGGCTGCTCCTGGCAGCGGAGGACTTGGCCATGAACCGGGATGGCTGCAGCTGTGCACGAGCCCTACAGAAATGGCCACGCAGAGCGGAAGCTTTACGGACAGGACGCTTCCCTGGATGTGCTCCTTGGTGTCCAGATCTCCTCGACACACATCTGAGTCTGTGGTCCCCTCATGTTCGTGACCTAACACTCTCATCTGTTTGTTTCCAGGGACGTGCCAGAGACATGCCGTAAAAAACAGTTATGTTTGTTCACGGTTGGGGTCTATGTGAACACACATGGCCAAAATATTTTGGATAATTTTGAGAACTACACCCAATGTTATTCTAATATACAACAAAATCACTTCTAAAGAGGAAAAATGACATTTACTAATCCAAACAAAGTACATTTTACTGACAAATAATAGTAAAGTGGTTTTGCTTGAACTAGATTCTAAATTCCAGACTCTGCAGGATCAGAGGCCTCACTGGTTTTCTGCACCGGTGCACACCCAGCACGAGCTCTGAGCCTGCCCGGCAGACCCCTCTGTAAATGCCGATAATGACCTCCATCTGACAGGAAAATGACGACGAATGAGCATAACTGTTTTATTACCGTGAGTATGAGCCTTCCCTTTCACTCATGCTGACCCTAGCGAAGCGTGCAGGACCTGCTGAGCCTTCTGCTGAAGGACGTGGCCAGCCAGGGCAAGGCCCAGCTTAGGTCCATGTCATTCTGAGTGCCGTGGGCTTGGCTGGGGATACGTGTTGTCATCAGAACTGAGGAAGGACCAGTGTCTGCTCAGGGGAGGGGTCCAGATGAGCAAACATGGGCCCGAGTGGAGGGGGGCACGTGGGGGGACAGCGAGGGGCTCATCTGCTGGTGCCTGCAAGAAACGTAGTTACCGACGCAGCCCCAACAATGCAGAGGAAACTCAAGGGCATGGCAAGAGTTGCATTTTTATTTAAAACCAGTTTCCTTATACTAGAGAAACCTCGTCTGCTTTAGACACATATCACTTGGCAATAGTTATACAGTGGGAAGAGCCTTCTAAGTGCACACTAGCAGGTCTAACGAATCCTTAGGGAGTGATTGAAAAGCCCCTGGTTGTGGCTCTAACAGAGACACTGGTACCAGACTTGCCCCGATGTGTTCACACTGAGAGAGCTGAACAAGATACATGAAGTAACGGTTCTCCCAAATCAGACAACACACAGCATAGCACTGCAACGCCCGAGAGAGGCCTCCCCCTCCAGAGTCCCCTTCCCGTTCTGGTTTCCGAGGAAAGGGAAACCAAGCGGGGCACAGCTGTCTCACTGAAGTGAGGAGACAGAGGTTGGAATCCAGAAATACGGAGGCTGCTGGAACTTGCAGGGCTGTGCCATGTGGGGCGATATCAAGAAAGGTGATAAAACTCAAGCAGTATATATCCAATGGAAAACACGTGGTGTATTTTAATTAAGTTGCTACAAAACTGTGATAGAAAGAAAACCTTAGATGTCAGAAGGAAGAAAAACTTATTCTATAAAGGAGAAATATTGGAATGTTTGCAGATTACCAACAAAAAAAAATGCAAGCCTGAAGATGATGCAAGAGCATATTTAAAGTACCAAAAGAAAAAAAAGTCAGCCTAAAATTCTCTATCTAGCAAAAATAGCCTTCAAAATTGAACATAGAATAGAAACATTTTAAGACAAAATATTCTGAACAAATGTTACTGCATACCTGTTGAAGGTCTTCGGACTAAATGACATTATACCAAATGTTAACTGTATTTATAGAAAGGAAAATATATGTTGGAAATGTTTTAAAAAGAAGGTATTTATTAAAGGCTTACTTTTAATTTTGACAAAAAACTCAGGTAATGGGCCGGGTGCAATGGCTCAACACCTATAATCCCAGCACTTTGGGAGGCCGAGGCAGGCAGATCACAAGGTCAGAAGTTCAAGGCCAGCCTGGCCAACATGGTGAAACCCCATCTCTATCAAAAATACAAAAATTAGCTGGGCATGGTGGCACATACCTGTAATCCCAGCTACTTAGAAGGCTGAAGCAGGAAAATGGCTTGAACCCGGAGAGCAGAGGTTACAGTGAGCTGAGATCACGCCACTGCACTCCAGCCTGGGTGACAGAGCAAGACTCTGTCTCAGGGAAAAAAAAAAAGATAATAAACTGTTTAAATGAAAAATAATAGCCACATATTTGGGATTTATAACATGTACAAAAATCATGAGAAACAGTGCAAAGGACACGAGGTGTAAATGGAAACGATTTCATGAGTGTCCAACATTTTACAGGAAGTGGTTTACAGACTGCTAAGTTGTGCTAACTTGTGTGTGTGTGTTTGTGTGTGTGCATGTGTTTGTGTGTGCGTGTGTGTGTTTGTGTGTGTGTTTGTGTGTGTGTGTTTGTGTGTGTGTGTTTGTGTGTGTGTGCGTGTGTTTGTGTGTGTGTTTGTGTGTGTGCGTGTTTGTGTGTGTGTGTTTGTTTGTGTGTGTGTTTGTGTGTGTGTTTGTGTGTGTGTGCGTGTGTTTGTGTGTGTTTGTGTGCGTGCGTGTTTGTGTGTGTGTGTTTGTGTGTGTGTTTGTGTGCGTGCGTGTTTGTGTGTGTGTGTTTGTTTGTGTGTGTGTGTGTGTGTTTGTGTGTGTGTATGTTTTTGTGTGTGTGTTTGTGTGTGTGTGTGTGTGTTTGTGTGTTTCTGTGTGTGTGTATAAAGGAAACCACTAAATACGAAGAGTGAAGCGAATGAGACTATTTAGGAGCAAACAGTGATACCAAAGTACACACAAGCGTGCGGAGGTTTTCCTATTTCTGCTTGGTGAGTTGAAAAGAGCATTGCTCCCAAACTTGCAATAAAAAAGCCAGATAAGCAGCAAGTTCACAACTTTCCTTGACCCCCTTGAGGAAGATTGGGAAACACTCTACACTGGTAGCCAATGAGTCGGAAGTGCGGGTGGCCTGGGGACCCCCAATGTGGCTGGTTTCTGGAGTGTGGAGCGTTTTCTGGGAATTTACCACTTAGAGTGGTGGTGTTTAGTGTCAGAAAACGTTCAAAAATCAATCGTTCATTGCAATTCACCATATGAACAAACTAAAATAGAGAAACTATGTGATTATCTCAATTGATGCAGAAAAAGCATTAGACAAAATCCAACGTCTATTCCTAACAAAATCTCTCAGCTATCAACCTGATAATAGGAATCTATTAAAAACCTGTAATTAATATCACATTTACTGATGAAATATTCTATATTTTCCCCTAAAATTAGTAACAGGAGAGGCTGTATGGTTCTTATCTCTGAAATTATTGTTGTTTTGGGAGTTCTAAACAGCTAAATTAGAAAAAAAGAAGACGACAATCAGATTGAGCAGAAATAAATAAGTGAGTAAAACTGCCTATTTTCACAGATTACATGCTTATTTAAATTTAAAAAAATAAAAACTACAAAACACACACATAATAATGAATGCACGTTTGCAGGATACACATTCACTGTACAAAAGTCCATTGTACCTGGCACCCAGATCTTGGTTTTTAATGTCATTCTTACTGCAGAAATGGTTGATTCTAAGACTGGGGTGAGAAATTGACAAGGTAAGCCTGAAATATTTTATAGTCCCAGAAAGTTAAATCGTGCTAAAAAAAAAAAGAAAAAAGGAAAAACCAGCCAATTTTTAAAACCACATGGATGATGATAAGAAACACAGGAGCCAGCTGAACGTATACCCAATGGCCAAAAGTAGAACACTGCTAAGCAACAAAATAAACAATTATTGGATTATAGCCCAAAGCATAAAGTACACACCCATGAGTCCATACTGATATAAAGAAATGATTGAATAAGTGAGTAACGTGGAAAGACGAGACTAGGGTCCCACGCAGAAGAATTTCAAATCGCTGTAGGTTCCCTGCCCTCAAGAAGGGGCAGCCCGGCCGCTCTGCTGAAGCACGGGCCGTGCACAGTAACTTCCTTCCAAAGAGCGCAACACGAGGGGCAGGGAAATGAGCAGCTTCCCCGTGGAGAAAGCTGGTGGGCACTGCCTCAGCCCAAGACCACGGTTAGGAACACTGGCGTTGAGTCCACACCTTCATACAGTGGGGTGAGAACGGCACGTTTCACCTCTGTGATCCCCCTTCCTCCCAGAAATATATAACCGCTGTCTAGTCACAAGGAAAACATCAGACAAATCCCAGCTGAGGGACGCTCTGCACAACACCCGAGTAGTCCTCAAAACTGTCAAGATTGTCCAAGACAACGGAAGCCTGAGCCACTCACAGCCAAGCGAGGCCAGGACGACACGACGACTGAAAGTACCCTGGGATTCTGCGTGGGATCCTGAAACGGGGCGGGCATTAGGGGAAAACTAAAGAAACTGGAATAGAGTATGGATTTTAGTTACTGATACTGTGCCAGCATAGGTCCATTAATTGTGACTGTCCATGCTAATGTAAGAACCTGGGTGCAGGTGCATGGGACTCTCTATATTACCCTCTCCATTGTTTGGTAAATCTAAAACTGTTCTAAAAAATAAAGCCTATTTGAAAGCATGTATTCATGACAGAAAATAAACTTTATTCTGTAATACTAACAAATAATATTTGGAACTTGAAATGCTTAGAATACTCTTAAGAATAAGATTAAAAAGTAGGAATATTTAGCATCAAGTCAGGCAAAGATGTGCAACACCCCACACTGAAAACTATAAAGCGATGCTGAGCGAAAATAAAAGGCCAAAGGAACAGAGAAAATGCACCACGTCCATAGGTCATTAGACCCAATCATGTTACCAAATCCGCCCAAACTGATCTAAATATTTGATGCAATTCCAAGTCCCAGAAATATTGTTTGAGAAATTCAGAAAATAATTTGTTTTAAGTTTTTGTTTATTTTTTCAGTTGATAAAAAACTTGTAAATATTTGTGGTGTACAAGAAGATGTTTTGATAAATTTCTATACATTTGGAATGGCTAAATCAAACTACTTAACACATGCATAATAAAATCATTTTAAAATTTATCAGAAAGTACAACGGACAAAATTAAAGGCCTAACATCTGATTCAAAATGTACTATAAGACTGTAACACTCAAACCAGTGTGATATTGTCTTAAATGCAGATAAACAGATCCATGGGAAGAAACTAGGAGGCCCAGAAATAGACCCATGTATATATAGACAATTAATTTTCCACAAAAGTACAAAGGCATTTCAGCAGGAAAAAAAAAAGTGTTTCTTAACAAAGGATGCTGAGACAATTGGTTATCTATTAAACGAACTTTATCACACCGTATACAAAACTTGATTCACAGTAGATCGTAGATATAAACGTAAAATCAAAAATTATAAACCTTTGAGAAGAAAACAGGAAAAAATCTGTGAGACTTGGGCTGGCCTTGGCTCCTGGCTGGGGAGCAGCAGCTCTGCCCCTTCGAGGCGTCCTGGGGGGCCACTTCCCGGGGCTGGGGGCAAATCCCCAACAGCACCAGAGACTCAGCCAGGCCAACCCCTCGTTAGCAGGGAGCAGCTGCAGAAGCCGTGTGATGTGCTTATGCTTCCGGCTTTTCCTTTCTAAGCAAAAATCTTTTCTAAATCTTCCTCTAAATAAGTCAGACATCAGCTCCTCTGGCGCCTCCTGATGCCCAGCGGGGTTAGAAGCACCTGTTTCCTCCTCTGCCGGGAAGATGGCGCGAGAGGTCTCGGGGCAGGTAAAGCCCTCGCACGCTTTCGGATGTCCGCTGAGACCATGTGCACACCTCGCGCTGCGCACGCTTGTGTGTGAGACCCACACACAGGCCTGGGAGGGGAGGTGACCTCGCTGCGCTCCTCTCGGTGTCTCGGGCGTTCGGCAGCTCCAGAGAGGACGGGACACGTGTCCTCGTGCCTCTCCTGTCCCCACAGCTACCCATCCCCTGAGCCTTTCCTCTCGGATGATTCCCTTCGATCTTCTTCTGTCTCAGGCTGTATGTCCCATTCCTCCACACCTACAAACTGTGCCCGTCTCCAAGGGCGAACCTAGAATCTACTTATCTCAGTATTGTACTCACCTTGTTTTTAACCTTGAAACTCTAACTCCTGTCAAAGCAACTCAGAAACTCCGTGCTGTGAGTCACACGGTTCAACCACAAATGGTCACAATTTGAAGGGACTTTATCCTCGCGGTCCAGCCCCCACTCCTGACCCTTTGTGGCAATCAGAAGGGACCCAGGACACGGGCACTGAGGGTTTGTAAGAGGCCACACCGCTTGACGGTGCAAAGGTGGAAAGGAACCCAGGCCCGTGGCTCTTCACTGACTGGGATGCGAGGTGCACTGGCTCCATCCTGCAGCCTCAGGGCCACCGAGCTGCCACGCTCCCGCTGTGGGCTCCGCACAGCCCTTGCCTGATTCGCAGCCGTCAGTGACAGATGCCAGGGGGAAAAGCGAGGACCACACTGCCCGTTACTGAGGACGGCACTGACGGGGGTGTAGGTGGGAGGAGGAACCAGCACCTCCCTGCTCAGTTGCCAAAGCTTGGAAGGGCAGAAGCCACTTTGCACCGTTGCTTTCCCCCAGGTCTACCCGCGTAGAGCTACACACACAGCTCTCAGAAAGCCACGTGATAAATAAGAACCATCTGTTCTGAGTACAGCCATGGCGTATATTTAATAATATCAAAACCTATCAAAACAATACTTAGCATCCGATAGAAGGTTGGTGACTCCCAACGTCACCATGAACAGTAAGACGAGGGGACGCTGAGTCTCGAGTTGGATGAGGCCTGCAATGACTCCACTCTGAGCTGCCCTGGCTGGGTGGACCGTGCAGCCGGGTGGACCGTGCAGCCGGGTGGACCGTGCAGCCGGGTGGACCGTGCAGCCGGGTGGACCGTGCAGTCAGCCGGCCCCGGGCCAGGCGCTGTGAGGCCTGCAGCATCAACTGCTGCGTTCCTGGACTCACACTCGTCCTCTGTGCCTCGCTCGGATCCGCTGATTTTCCTGCACGAGTCTTAAGCCACCCGACAGCAGGGATTTTTCTTTTCTCCATCTCCTTTTCCGCACCCGGCTCCACACTCAGGTGGCACCAGCCTGTGCAGACCCCAGTGGTGCCCAATAAATGCCCCTGCCCAGCCGGCTCACGTCCAACCCTGCCTTCCTCTCAGTCCCCTCCTGCCTTTATCCCACGACACTGAGCCCATCTGCACCCCCTTGCGCCTGCTGGGTGTGTACCTCACGGGGAGGGAGCCCAGCCCACTGGGGGCTCACGGGGCGGCTGCCTTGGGTGGATGTCAGAGCCAGCACCACCTGGCAAACGGGAACCTGTGGGAGAAAGACGTGCACACTCACCAGGCAGAGGAGAAGGGATTCCAGAAGGAATGGGGTCAGTCTGCAGGGCCCCTCGTGCCATTTCCAATGCAGATCCTTCTCCATTCCTCACAGCCTTTCCCCCAGGTGGCTCCGGGATCTGAACCTGGCGTCAGAGGAACACGGCTGCTCTCATTAGCTCTCAATTTTTATGGGTTCATTCCCCAAAGAACAAGCTGAGTCACAGACTTTGCAAATCCAATCATTGCACAGGAGCACCGAGTAATATCGCACAAAGTCAACACTCCTCATTACATCTCCTCTGTTAATTTACCTTGGAACCAATTACTAATTCTCTCTCCCCTCGGGTCACACGTAGTCACCGTCACAGAAGCTGGAGAAAATGGCCTTAGCCACCAGGCGGTTCCCAGTCCACGCTGGCACCAGCTCTAGCCTCAGCTGATCTGATCTGGAAGAGGATTCCAGGGGCCCCCATGAATGCCTGGGGTGAGCACAGCATCCCCTCCAGAAAGGCAGGATCGCTGGAGGGCCCCTGGGCAGAGGCAGGGTCCAGATTCCTTCCCTAGGAGCACAGCCTAAGTGGAATTTCCAGGCATAAAATGCAATTGTGCAATTGCTTCAAGAAATGTTTCCCCGGGTGTCAAGATCTGTTGGGTAAAGAGCTGCCTGGAGTTCACAGGGTCAGGAGCTCCTGGCAAGAGAGGGAAGCAGGGGGTGTTTGCGTCCACAGTCAGCGGGGGGCCTCAGAGAAGCCCATGCTCAGCGTGGGTGCTAAGAACGACTTTGGCCCCCTGCGTAGGTGAGTCTTGCACATAAACAGCAGGAGGCCTCAGGCTGGCTCATGCTGACCTCCCTCCAGCCAATCTGTAGCTTCCAGACGATGCACAAAGCTCAGACACTAATCAGTGCCTGAACCCACATGAGGTGTCCGCTGCTATCATATCTCGTTTAATCCTCACACAAGTCCTATGAGTGCAGAAAGTCATCCCTATTTTGTATTTTTAAAAGACGAAGTCCTAGAGGCACTTAATAACTTACTCAAGGTCACACAATGCCGGGATGCAAATTCAGATTTCTCTAAATCTAAGAGCCAGGCAGGTATTTGCTCTCATACCTCTGCCATGCGTGATTCCTCCTTCGTTAAAGAAAAAGGATAATTTATATTACTATTTTCATTTCCATATCTCAGGGACATTTCCTAAGACATTTTTAAAAATGGGGGCATCCAGAACTCAAAATAATTCCAGTCTATTATAAAATTCTGGACCTATAAAAAATTATGCCAGCTGTCTGCCAAGATTGGCAAATGAGTGAAGGTTTTAGAGAAAAGGAAGGAGAAAGAGAATCCAGCCAATGACACCTGCCTGTCCGAGGAAATGTGTGCCTGGATAAAAATATATCAAATCAGAACGGAGGAACGAGAATGCACATGTGCTAGGAAAGGCAGTGGTATTTTACGTGTGCTGGGTGCGAATGAGGGAAGGGATTACCAGTAACTCCCTTTCCGCCACCGTAGCCCCACAGTTCCCCAGGAATTGTGACCTCATCCTTCGCCTCAAAGGCCATTTCTAGTGCGTAAAACCCCATCATTTGGATTCTGTCTGAAGACTAACTTCAGTCACCCCTTTGAATCTGTAAGTCGTATATACAGTGATGTTAATTAAAGGTTGGTTCTGGTGGTTGCAGGAGTCAGCGGTGCAGTCACGGATAGATTACATACAGTCGATGCACATTAGAGTATATCATAGAAATCAAAGTCCTGTGCACGAACAGCCGTGTAGATGGACTCCTCCTCTCACTCGCTGAGACCCTCAGCCCAGCAGGCCCAGGCTTCTTTTCAGGGGCACCGACAGCTCATGGCCTGGCCCCACGGAACGGACTCTGTGACCTCCATGGCACGAGGTGCCAACCTCAGACCACTTTCCAGGTCAGGGAGGAAGGTTAGGAAAGTGCCCCTGGAACTCCTGAGCGGAGACTGGGTTTCTCTCCCGGGCTCCTCTGCACTCAAGGCTCTGCTCACCGAGGCTTTGTGTGCCCGGAGGGATGGGGGCACAGGTCACCCCACTTTACCTTCCTCTGCTCCTCTCCTGCCGCCCCTGAGCTCAGGCACCTTTCCTGCATGAGCTTCTGCACTCAGAGCCCACCCCAGCCACCACAGGCCACTGTGATCTGAATCCCTTTCCCTCCTAAACAGACAGGCTGGTCCAGGCCGTTCCACCTGCTCTCTGTGCTCCCTCATCACAGTGAGAATTACTCCAGGCGTTGATAAAGGAGTCGTGTGGCAGCACC